TTTGAAACTGACTTGCTGTTGATGATTAATAATGATGACAATAGTTATCTGTTGAGTGTTTACATTGCTTTAAACAATTTCTGCAGATTATCTCATTTAATTCTTTAAGGAAATCATGTTGGAAGAATTGTAACATTTAGGAAACTGAAGCTCAGAGAGGTTAAATCCCATGCTCAAGGCACACAGCCAACAAACATCAGAATGGGGGTAGAAATGAGGCCAGCTCCACTCTGGCCTTGACTCTTAGCAGTGGCCTCATTCTTTTTTCTTTAATTAAATATTTCAGGCATACAAAAAAGTGCAAAGAATAACATAACAAACTTCTATGAAACAGAGCATGAGAAACACACTTAAAGCTCTTTGCAAACCCTCCCAAACCACTTTCTTCCCCAGCTGTGGCAACTTCTCCTCTGAATTGAGTGTTCATCATTCCATATGTTTCTATAATTTTGCTACTGTATGCATAAAACATACTGAATTGCTTTTCAGGTTTTGAATGTTATTAAATAGTAAAATTCTAGATGCATCTGATGGCAACTCGCTTTTCCCCCCACTCAACACTATAGTATTTGAGATTTATCTGTGATGACACATAGAGTTCTAGCTCATTAATTTTCACTGCTGCATGGTACTCTCCTTTAAGAATACACTGAAATTGATCCATCTATTCTCTTCTTGATGGGCATTTAGATTCTTTCTAGTTTTCCACTATTAAAAAGTGCTGCAATATATATTCTTCTGCATTTGTATACTGGAATTTTGATGGATGAACTCTCCTGATCATACCAGGTGCTCTGGTCTGAATATGTGTGTCCTTCCAAAATACACATGTTGAACCAAGCCTCCAAGGTGATGGTGTTAGGAGATGGGGCCTTTGGGGGATGACTCAGGTATAAGGGTGGAGCCCTCATGATTGAGAGGAGTGCCCATATAAAGGAGACTCCAGAGAGCTAGCTAGCCATTTCTACCATGTGAGGGACAGTGAGAAGGTATCATCTATAAATCAGCCGAAAGCAGGCCCTTAGCAGACACAAAATCTGCCAGTCGCTTGACCTTGGACTTCCCAGCCTCTAGAATGATGAGAAATGTACTTCTATTGTTTACAAGCCACCCGGTTTACCATATTTTGTTATAGCAGCCCAAACAGACTAAGATACCAGGTTTTCTTCTAATCTGTACAGAACTATGATAATACTGGACAGTTTTATTCATTCATCAACTTTTTTCTGAGCACCTACTATGTGTCAAGCCCTGTGTCGATTGCTAGGAACAGAGAAGTGGTTACGAGACACAACTCTTGATCTCCAGGAGTTTGCTTGGGAGACTAAGCATCAACCTCTGTCAGATGGAACAACTGGAGGGGCCAGGGAGCAAAGAGATTCCATGCACGATGGAGAAACACAGGGCTGTGGAGGGAATGACCAGCTTATTTCGGACATTACCCCCAAGCTCCTTGAATTCAAAGGCCTCCTTCAGTGTATATCTGTCCCTAGGAAAAAGTCACAGCAACCCCACAAAACTCTCTTTTCCCAACCTCATTCTCCCTTTCACATATGAATAGTAATGTGAGTCAGTTGTTTTTTGCCTAAAAAAAAAAAAAACCTTTGGCACCTACACACACTTGAATTCCAGGACTGGAATTCTCTCCAGTGTCCTGAGCAAATGACATCCACACTTTGCCTTGGATAGATACTGCCGATCTGGAATGATTAAAATAACAGATCATGGCTCATGTGCATAATAACCTGTATGGTCAGCACTGTGGCGAACTGTCTGTATGTGCCTATTGCTTAATCTGCACAAAATGCTCCTAAAGTTAGAAATACTATTCTTTCAATTTTTTAAAAGATAAGACCAGAGAGGTTAAAATACTATTCTTTCAATTTTTAAAAAGATTAGGCTCAGAGAGGTCAATTAACTTAACTGCCACCCAGCTAGGAGTTGGCAGAGCTGGGGCTCCATTCCAGTTGTGGCTGACTCCAGAGTCCTTCATCTCAGCCCTTTGAGCTCTGTCGGGATAAGCCTGACATTTCTGAAGGCGAGTCTTCTTCTTTCCACACTAGAGCAATACCATCTAAGGGAAGTTACTTACCGCCCCACACAGCCCACTCACTACTTGCACATTCTCTCCATTTGTTCCAGCTACTGAGGAAATTAGAGCAAATCCTATTTTTAGACACTGTGGTTCAAATGACAGTGATGTATGGAGTAGTGACTTGTTTTATGAACGTAGTTCGGAGGTGTCGGCTGATCTTAATGCTCGGAAACTCTCTTACATCACCCTGTTTTGCTCTTTATAATTTATTTCAAAGATTGCTTTGTTTCTTCTCCCTCCTCCATGAGTCCTGCAACAGACTTTAGCCAGAAGCAATAAAATTCTGAGCTGACATTAAAGGCAACAAGAGAGGCTCCTCTTGGAAACCTGAAACACAAATCATGCCGGGGTTTGTAGGGGTAGAGCACAAGCCCTTAGCAAAAATTAAAGTGTGCTCAATGGTTAGATCTAGAAGAAACAGACTTCATCCCTTCTTAGCAAAATCGACTGTGTTTGTGTTTTAGATGAAAATCCTACAACCTTACTGCTTATTTTTTTACAGCTAATTATAATGTCCTAGTTTGGAAGGCCAGCAAAAGAAGTGAACAATGATATAAGTAGGTACCTACTTATATCACCTATCAAGTAGGTACTATCATTGTTCCCATTTTATGGATGAGGAGACTGAGGCTCCTCAAGATGAAATAACTTGATTAAGGTGACACAACCAGAGAGTAACAGAGCCTACAATTTAACCCAGTTGTGTTTTGCTCAAGAATTGTCACTCAGAAAGGAAACAGTTAAGATTTAACCCAAATAAAGAGAAGAACTTGATATGTAAATGTACACAGTTCAATGACTTGTCACGAGCACCTGTGGCGCTACCAACCAGATCAAGAAAGAAAAGATGTCCAGCTCCTGTTAGGTGCCCTGCCCCTTCATGAGTTGGGCTCCTCTGCTAGAGCTTCTCTGGGAATTCTTTGACCGAGGGCATTACTGTCCCTACTTTACTGATGTGGACACAGAGGTTCAGAGAGGCACTGTGACTTGCCAAAGGTCACAGAGCTTGGAAAGCAACAGGCTCAGAGAGGGCGAGTGATCACCCAGAGATCACACAGCTAAAACTTAACCACCTGTTAAAACAACAAACTAAATACCAAAAACCAAAACCGTGCTTTATTAGGTGTTTACTATTTGTAAGTCACAGTGCTAAGTCTCTTGGACGACAACAGCAGCAGCAGCAGCAGCAGCAGCAGCAGCAGCAGCAGCAGGCACTTTTTTTTGCTGTTTGGGGTGCATACTCCCCATGTAACGCAGCTTGGCACTTTGCGTAATCTGCTCAGTGAATTCTTCCAGCGACCCTGTGTCTTGGGCTTGGGTATCGAGCCCATTTTACAGACGAGGACACTGAGGCTTGAAGGCCGAGGCCCCTGCCCGATAGGCTCAGCCGGCCTGGCACCGAATCTGCCCGGCTCCCTGGGCGGCTGCGGGAGGGCCAGGTGGCATGCAAGGAGTTAAGCGGTAGGCAGTGCTGTGGCACCGTGCGAGGAGCGCGCCGGGCTGAGGCGCGCTGCTGGCGGCGGCGGCAGCGGCGCGGGGAGCTAGGGCTGGAGACGTGAAGTCCCGGGGAGCGAGCCAGGCAGCCGAGGAGGCAGCGGCGAGGCAGCTAGCGAGAGCAAGGCGGCCGGAGCCCAGCGCGGAGCGGCAGCCTGTGCCCTGCGCGCACCGAGCCCGGGCATCTCCATCCCCGGGCGGGTGCCCGCGCGGGGCCTCGCCGCGGCTCGGGGCACCCGCAGTGCCGCCCGCCCGAGCGCCAGGCTCGCAGGAGCCCGGTTTTCACTTCCTCTCGCCTCCGCCCGCCTCCCTGGCTCGCCGGCTGGCGTCGCCACCGCCTCCTCGTCCCCGGCCACCGCTGTCGCCGCTGCTGCAATCCAGGGCGCACACTCTCCCACTTTCCTGCTGGAGGCGCGGAGGATGCCCCTTGAGCCAGACCTGAAGAAATAGCCCCGGGGCCCGGCAGGAGGAGCCTTGGTGGCGAGAAAGGAAATCCAGGCTCTGCTTTCCTTGAAGCCACTGCAGCAGCCGGGAAGGCGCCCACAGAGCGGGCGCGCCAAGCGGGACGCGGGAGTCTCAGAGAGGGACCCCGGGTGCCTGCTCAGCTCCGCCGGCAGAGTTTGCAAGTCGCGGAGACCCTTCAGGTAAGGGCTCACGTGCCTGGATCTGGGAAGAGGGCTCTAGGAGGGAGCGGGGCGCGGAGCTGCTGCGAAATGTCTTCTGCCCCCGGATCTGGGCTTTGCGTTCCAGACGCTTCCCGGCAGGTTGGGGGCTCAGCGCCCAGAGTGAAAAACCCGGAGTGGTGACAATCCAGCTCTGCGTAGATGACAAACTTTCTCTCCTCTGGCGGAGGGTGGGACATTCCGGCTCATCCAGGCATCCATCCTCGGGGCATTCCTGTGCCCCCCTACAGGCATGCCTTCAAGAGCTTCTCCGCGGAGGTGGGCCAGCGGGGCGGCAGTGGGCCCCGTAAATTTGATTTATGAATCACCCTTTTTACGGTCAGTGCAGAGTTCCAAGAGAGAGGGAGCTAGTCATATTTCCAAGTTGTCTGGAGGAGATGCTTCTTGGGGGTGATACTCTGCTGAATGAGGCTGCCTGTCATCTGATACCAACAGCCAGAGCCGCCTGGGCAATGGGCTTTGTGCAGGTTGCTTTGCGGATTTGCTTATGTCCATTCTGGGGCGTGTGTGTGTGTGTGTGTGTAAAGACAGAGAAGGAACTAGAGACTAGGGGACCCACTCAGCCAAATCGCCTCCTTGCAAGCCCTTCCGGCAGCCCCAGGTATCTTTGAAAGAGCCAACTCACCTTGGCAGAACCACTAAGGAGGGTGGAGGTGACTTCCTAATTCTTACAGCTTCAAGGGGCTGCTCCTTAGGAGAGAAAAAAAAAAATAGGGAAAGTTTCCTGGGCTGTTCAATGAGACCATTCTATTGGAGCCTGGGGAGGTGCAAACTTTTAGCAGAAAAGGGGCTGGAAGGGCCACGTGGAGAGGGGCTCCTGGCCTTCTCATCCCCACTCTCCAGGCCCCTAGAGGCTCTGCTGAGGCCAACACAGCTCATGAGTTTGGCTTGATGATTTTTCCTGTTAGTAAAAAGCGTGCTCCACGGAGGTCGCCTGGTCTCTGAGGATCATTTTGGAGCTGCCCCTGTGGTCACAGCCCCGTAGATGGCATGGTGATACCTATTGGGGCTGGGCATCTGTCTCTGGGGAGTAGCATCGCTATGTTGTTTTTAAGACGTTTCTTAGGGTGTGAGGTGGAATTCCACTCTCACGCCAAGTTAGGAGCTGCGTCCTAGGCTGTGGAAACCCAAGAATTCCTCCAGGGCGTCAGAATCTGGTGCTTGATGTCCTGGAAAAAGCCCTGGGTCTGGGCCAGGAGGTTGAGCTTCAAGTTGGGTCTCATTTGCTGTGTAACGTTGGGCAAATCACTAGACCTCTCTGGGCTTCAGTTGCTGCTTCTCAAAAATGAAGAGATTACATGTATCCTCAGAGGTCCCAGTTCAGTTTAGACGCTCCATGGCCCTGTGTGATTGTCACTGATGAGATCTTCATAATCCCAGGAAAGGATCTTAATTTAGAATTTAAGAGATTTAGGTCTCAGATCAGATGTAAGTGTGACCAGTCACTTCCTGCTCCATACTGTGGGTCCTCCACTGTAGGATGCGGAGCTCACAGTTCCTACTTCAGCAGGCTGTTGCGAGGACCGAGATGGTGCCTAGAGGGTGCTGAGTGTGGAGTTTAGCAAAAAGCAAAGCTCAACGGTGCCAGCACCAAAGCTACCTGCTTTCAAGTCCTGTGTGTGGGCAGATATCTGGGTGCCGTTTTACCAAGGGAGGCTGGCCCCATCCCACCGAGCACCAGGTGATCCTGGACTGCATGTGAGGCCCGTGTTCTCTCCAATCACCTGACACTGCAGTCCCCGCCCCCCCCCCCTTTGCTTTCTCATAAAATCTCTGCTGGACCAGCCACTCCTAGTGGGGAGCCCAGGGTGGTCTGCGAGCGCTGGATGCACCCAGCTGCTGCATCGCCAGGATATCAGGAGCTGGAGGTAGGCAGTCTCCATGGCTTCAACTTGCAGCTGTCTAGGGACCAGGGCAGAAGTTCAGAATGTCTGAGTGTAGGGCACTCAGTCAGCTGATGCCTGAGAACCACCCCATGCCGGGCAGACAAAGCTACTGTTCTTGGCAGCAAAAGTCAAGCTGGGGAAAGAAGTGTCTTACAGCAGTGTGTATATGTGTGTGTGTGTGCGCATGGGCGTCTGCATGTGTGCGTGTGCATGCACACACAAGGGGATGCTGAAATTGTGATGGAATGCAGTGGAGTGGTCAGTGTGATCTTTTTCTCCATGGTTCTGAGGCTTGTGGGTTGCCCTGGGTTTATGCTGAAACCATCAGTGGGGAAGGGAGACCCCATCCCAGTGACATGGAGTGAATTCATGGGGGACAGAAGCAGTTCCACTGTGAGCTTGCTTGGTCTGTAGACTTGACTTTTAAGACTCTGAGAAAATGAACAGTTTGCTTTCATGGTAGAGTAAGGAGTGTGTGTGAATGTGTGCATGTGTGTGTACTCTCATGAAGGTGTGTGCTCATGTGCTTGCGTGAGCATAACTTACATGAGAACTATAAGTGTGTGGATTCATGTAAATGGTGTCAATGTGAGTGTGTACTTGGTGTCTGCTGGATGTATGTGTGGATGTGCATGTCTATGGATTTATGAGTGGGTGTATGTACATGCCTGCAAGAGAATGGGTGCATGTGTGAACTGGTGCAAGGGTGGGTATGTGTATGTGCTTGTGCATGTTAAGCAGTTGTATATATGTGAGTCATGTGTGTCTGAGCCACACAGATGCATGCTTGCACAGATGCGCATGTGTGCTGGAGGGGGTCTGTGCAGAAATGCCTGTGTTTAAGAAGCTATGTGTGTCTGCCTGGTGTGTGTTTTAATAGCTGTGTGTGTTATTTGTATGCCCATGTGGGCGTTCCTGAATGCCTGCATATGTGTGAGTGTACACATGTGCGTACAGCCATGTGAGTGTGAATTTGTGCTACGTACTTAACAGGTATTATGTATCTGCATGTTTTTAAATGTACGTTTATGTGTGTCTCTATGGGCATATGTGTGTGTAGCATTGCACAACTACTGTCTCTGTGTGTGTGTGCATCTTGCATCTGTTTGTTGTGGTATAATCTCTGAATGTCTCTGTGTGTATGTGTGAGTTTCTGAACATGTATATCTGTGAACATTAGAGTGTGCATTTGATTGTGTTTGTGCATACATGTGTGTTTCTGTGGGTGTGTGCCTGTGTGTATTGCAGTGTGAACTTTTTATGCATCTCTCGGCATCTACACAGGTGTTTCTGAGCATATGTGCCTCTGTGTAGCATTGCATACTTGAGCGTATCTCTGTGTGTATGTGTGCATTTCTGAGTGTCTGTCTGGGTGTGTTGCTTGCAGTGCACATTTGAGTGTGTCTGTGTGCATGTGTCTCTGAGGTGTGCTTTTGTGTGTTCCAGTGTAAGTTTTGTGCATGTCTCATGTATGAGTGAACTTCTGAGTGGTGTTGTGTTGTATCTTTTTGCACACCTCTGGGTGTACATGTGTTTTTCTGAGTGTGTTTGCCTGTTTGTGCAGCTGTGTAACTTTTGTGCATGTCTGTGTGTGTGTGTGTGTGTGTGTACTTCGAAGCATGCACACCCCTGAGGGTGTGTCTGAGTGTCTCTCGGGGTATAAACAAGTGTGTGGGTAGATGGGTGTGGACACACCTGAGAGCTTCCAAACAGAAACCGTCTCTGAAGCTTTAGGATCGCTCTTCTCCCTGCTCCTCGGGACTGAACCGTGCTTGTGCCGTGCACTTCCCGAGTGTCGATTCAGCAATTGGTGTCAGCTCTGAGCATAGTTTTGGATGTTGCGAGCTCATTTTTCCAAGTGCCTTTGCCTTGCAGGGCTCCAAAGCCCGGTGTATCCCCTGGCCCCGCCTTCCTCACCTTCTGTAACAGCCCAAATCTATCTCGCCAGAAGCCTCCACTTAGGACGGCTGCTGAGCAAACTCGCAGATGTTAAAAGCACAGGTATAATTTTAGGCAGAAGGTCTGAAAATAGGCAGCCTAGGATATGCTGAACATCTCGACAGCAGTGTTTCTAATTAGGAGCAACTTGTTTTCCTTAAATAAACAAATCAAGTGAGGAAAGAAATTGCCCGAGATTAATGGCTCCCTGGAGCAGGTCCAGATGTTGGGAAGATAGGGACTGTGGAGGGGTATGGGTTGGTCTCTGGTCCCCATGGACTGCAACGGTTGCTGCTGTAGGGCCTTCCAGATTTTGCCGAAGAGCTGATGAGACAGAACCTTGAGGTGAGAAGCTGGTGAGGAGGGCAGGGCTGGGCCACTGTGGGGCCCCTTTTCAAGGTCTGCCAGTGCCTGGTTGTTGAGGTGGATGCATCACTGGCCCCATTTCCTGCCTCCTTCCTGTATCCATGCCCTTAGCCATAAGGCATGATTGCTCTTCTCATTCAAGGAGCAGGCAAAGCTTAGACCCTTGCTCCCTCCCTTTGGGGTTCAGCCATGTGACCGGCTTTGGCCATTAGAGTGAAGTGGAAGAGATAGTGTGCCCATTCCAAGCTCAGGCCTTAGGGGACCTGTGTGTTTCTGCCATGGCGAGGTGGAGAGCTGCCCTCTCAGCCTGGCCTAGAATGAACACATGTTAAGCCCAGACCTTGGTGAAGGGATGAACCCAGCCAAGTTCCAGCTGGCCACAAGCAGATCAGCAAAATCAGCGCCTCTCATGATATCTTACTGGGGTTTTCTGGTTGTTTGCTACACGCCATTGTCATGGTCATAGCTAACTGATGCAGTTACCAGTAAGTCATCTTTATTTCCTTCTCCTGTTTGACCCTGGTACTTATTCAGAGGTGCATAATGAACACCTTTACTTTTCACTGTTGGTGTCCCATTCCTACCTTGCTTTCTGTCCATCCTAACATCAACATTAATAATAATAAGTAACACGTGCAAAGTGTTTACCAGGTGCACACACCATGCCAGGACCTTTGTATATCATCTAACCTACTGTTATAATCTGTGAGGCTCAGAGAAATGAATGACTTGCCCAGGTGACACAGCTCAGAAGCCAGGCTTCCTGGGATTTGCACACAGATCACCTGATGTCAGAGACCCTGTTTTTAACCATGATGTCATATTGCCTCCCCAGTGCCAGCAGACATGTTTTATGTAACTGATGTCATAGCATACATCCAGCATTTCCCCGCTTAATTCACCTGGAGTTTTGGTTGGCAGAAACATATCATGTCACAGAAGTGGGAAGTGTCTATTTGAATGTGGTGAGATTTGTTCATCCCTTCATCATTCCATGCATCCATCCATCCAGCCATCTGTCCGTCCATCCATCTATCCAACGATCTGTCTATTCATCTGTCCATTCCATCCATCTGCCCATCTGTCCATCCATCCATCCATCCATCCATCCACCCATGCATCCATCCATTCATGCATCTATTCAAGTATTTACTCAGCATCAGTATTTGCTGATATTCAGTGTTTGATCAGAATCTTCTAAGCATCATACTCTGTGTGGGCACTGAAGATAAAGAGATGAGAGAGCCCAGCTCTGTCTTCAATTCGTTTACAATCTGGGGAAGAAGTAAGAGAACCTGGATTCTGGAGGCAGAGGAAGCTGAGTTCCAGTCCAGCCTTTACCCTTTACTGTAAGCAACTTCAACTCCACCTCATTGGATTGTTGTAAGGATCAAACAAAGTAATGTTGGCAAAGTCCTTCCCATAGTGCCTGCATGTTGGAAGCCACAATAAACAAGAGGCATAACCCTTCTTCCTCCTATTCTTTTTCCTCCTCCTCCTTATGGCGGAGATAGCTAAGTGTCATGGCCAGAGCAATGCAGAGATAAGAGAAAGCAAGGGCCTCTAGATCCCAGATAGAGTGACCAACCATCCTGATTGTCTGAGCTGAGATGTTTCGTCAGGATACAGGACTTTCAGTGCTAAAACTGGAAAAGTCCCACACAAACCAGGACAAATTGGTTACTCTAATCCCAGAGGAAATATTGGACCCAGCTTGGAATGGTCTAGAATAAGGATCAACAAACTATGTCCCACAATCAAATCCAGCCCACTGCCTGTTTTTGTAAATAAAGTTTTATTGGAACACAGCTAAGCCCATTCATTGATATACTGTCTGTGGCTGCTGTCAAGCTCCAATAGCAATGTTGAGTATTTGTGACAGAGATCATATGGCCTGCAGAGCCTAAAGTATTTACTATCTGGCCCTTTATAGAAAAAGATTGCTGACCCATGAGCTAAAAATCTAAGCCAGGGCCCTGGGCCAAGGACAGAGATGACCAAGGCAAGAATTTGATGGACTTGGCTGAATCATTGTGAGTCAGGTGACATGTGGCGTTTGCATTCATCCACAGGTGAGGTGCCTGGAGGCTCATAACAGGTGCCGCAACTCCAGAGACTGTGAGCTGGAGAATTCTTAGATGGAGAGATAGAAACCCAGAAAGGGAGAGGGTGTTGGATGTTGCATGCTCATTTAACACAACATCCAACAGACAGTAGGAGGCAGGTGACAATGGTCCTGGGGGAAGAGTTTCTGAGTGGGAAGCGAAGAGACCTGAATCCCACCTCTTCATCAATTGACTTCGTGGCCTTTAGCAAGTCCCTTCCCCTCTTTGGGCCTCCGTTTTCACACCTATAGGATGGGAGCGAAGTTACGTATGATCACAAACAACTTCTCCAGTGCAGCTCTTTATGGTTCCATTTTCTTTTCCACTTGGAGTAGCACTAAAGCCTTAATATATGTTGGCCTCTGCTCCAAGGTGGCCCTGCAGGACCCTGACCTGCAGACTCTTCTGATCACATGGCTTCCGTATGCGGGGTGTTTGCAGTGCCTGGCATGGTAATTGGAGCTTCACTTCCATTCTCTCACTGGCTCCTTGTGACAGTCCTGTGAGATAAGGGACCTCAGTCTCCACTTGACCCATGTGGACGCTGAGGCTCAGATTCATTCACTTATCTAG